TTTTGTAAATTGCACTTTCACAACAAAGAGATTGCGGTACAGTACTTGTATGAAGTGAATTGAAAAATACTATTTCTTTTGTTTATCATTTTTACAGTGCAAATATTTGTAATAAAAATAATATACACTGATTTCAATTACAACACAGAATACAATATATATGAAAATATAAAAAAAATTCAAAATATTTAATAAATTTCAAGTGATATTCTAAAGTTTTACATTGTTTTATTTCTGAATGCAGGTTTTTTGTACATAATTCTACATTTGTAAGTTTAACTTTCATGATAAAGAGATTGCACTACAGTACTTGTATTAGGTGAATTGAAAAATACTATTTCTTTTGTTTTTTAAAGTGAAAAATATTTGTAAAAATAAATATAAAATGAGCACTGTACACTTTGTATTCTGTTGTAATAGAAATCACAAATTTTGTAAATTGCACTTTCACAACAAAGAGAATAGTATTTCTCAATTCACCTCACTACAGTACTTGTGTGAGGTGAATTGAGAAATATTTCTTTTGTTTATCATTTTTACAGTGCAAATATTTGTAATAAAAATAATATACACTTCAATTTCAATTACAACATAGACTACTATATATATGAAAATGTTGAAAAAATCCAAAATATTTAATAAATTTCAAGTGGTATTCTATTGTTTAACAGTGTGATTAAAACTGTGATTAATCGCAATTAAATTTTTAAATAGTGATTAATTTTTTGAGTTAATCGTGTGAATTAACTGCGATTAATCAACAGCCCTATTTAAAATGCAATAAAAATTAATAAACTGATAAACATTAGGAAGTGAATCATGGTAATTCTGTGATACCAGCACTCAGCCCTAGAAAGATGGAGGCTAGGGAGGAGGAATGTCACGTGCTTGGGCAGAACAGCACTGTGGCATTCTAGTACTAAGTGCATGCATCATTGAAGTGTTCCATGCACACACATGGATGCTCTCTTCTTTGAGATGCTACTGGTTAATTACAGGGCTAGTCTAGTCACTTCATGTTGGCTATACCAGAAGGGAGGATCCAGCTGTGACGTTATGAGTGTAATATAATATCTCATTGAAAGGTGACAGAGCCAGAAAGAGTTAATTAACTCACAGACTGAACTGACCAATGGCCGAACTTTAAAGACTTGTTAGGAAGATATGTAAATGAATAGAGCTCTGAAATGCAAGCCTGCATTGTTAGAGATAGAAGGGTAGGTGTTTGCTCAGGTCTTGTGATGTAAGCAGACAAGTCTTGTCTATTGCTATAGCTTTGATTCAAAGATCAGAAAAGGAATATTAACATTTAGGAAGACACTTGAGTGAAATAGTATTATTGTCTATACGTCTCTTTGAAGTTGTGGCAACCTATAGCTGACCTATTTAATGGATAAATTACCCTGTACTAATTGCCATGATGTGTAGGAGAAGGAAAGTTGAGCCTATTGTTTTCTCAGGCCAAAAGGCTGCTGAAAATGTATAAAAACCCTGGGACACAATCCTTCTTCATCTCAGATCTGCTTCGGGTTTCAAGAAGGGGAAACCTTGAGCCATAAGTATTGAGATCCCCAGTCACTGACTGGAGTCACCCTGAACATGGACATTTGACTATAACCTATGGACTATTTCTAAAAGGACTTTTGGCAACTACAAACTCATCTCTGCTATGTATCTGAACCTCAAGAATTGAATGCAAGTCTGTATGTATATTGATCTTTTAACTAACACTCTCCCTTTTTTCTTTTTTAATAAATTTTAGTTTCGTTAATAAGAATTGACTATAAGCGTGTATTTTGGGTAAGATCCAAGTGGTTCTGGGGCTTGGTCCTTTGGGATCAGGAGAACCTTTTCTTTTATATGATGAAATAAGATTTTCAGAATTTATCATCGTATGTTTGACATGCGTGTCTGGATGGAGGCCTGAGGCTGGGTACTTTAAGGGAACTGCATTATTTGGACTTCTGAGTAACTAGTGAGGTGCTATAGAAGCTGTTTTGTGCTGGCTTGGTAAATCTAAATATTGGAATATCCATCAGCTTTTGGGGTTTGTCTGCCCTGTTCTGTTTGCAGTTCACCCTAATTGAGTGACCACAGCTGGCTTCCCTGGGCAGCATTGTCACACCAGCACCAACATTTTATGTAGAGAGTTGGGGAATCTGAGTCCAATTAAGATAATTTTGTAAAATGGGTTCCTAGAGAAACACTTCTTTTAAGATTTTTTTGTTTTGTTTTGGCAGGTTTCAGTTGTAACTTGTTACTTCTGTAACCTACCAATAAAAGACAACTAAACAAATCTTTGAAAGTTTAAAAGAATAGTTTTATTACCAAACAAATTGCGTGAAATGTTAGATTGCTTTCCCTATGTACCATATAAGAAGATGTTATATTAATTACTGATACCTTCACAACAGTGTTATTTTTAAATCTACCCTCCAAGCAGAGCTAACATGTAGGGGCAAGATCAGCACAATACTATTATCGAAAAAGGGTGATGAGAGGAGTAATTCAGATGCTGTGGTAGCAGTGGGAGCACTAGTGCAGCAGAACTGTGAAAAAGGATGCTGCCTTAGCAATACATTATCAACCAATCCACTTTCCATTTTTAAGACTCTACAAAATTTTATAACCCATTGGGAGTGTTTTCATAAAGATATCCTGTAATTCACAAAAATAATCTCATTGTTTGTTATAAGTGTTGGAGTTTATCATGGAACTTAAATAATAATCCTATAACCTTCTACAGTGCCTTTCATTTGAGGATCTCAAAGCATTTGAAGTATCAGTTTGGGTTCACCGTGTATTTAAACTGGTGTTTTTTCTATTTGGAATTTTTGGCCTTGATTCTCAGTTGCTTTGTTTCTGCACTTAGCATTCCTGCACCTTTGTGATCCCAGGCCCTGAATCTGGGCTTTGGCAGCAGAGAGGAGCCATGAAGCTGGTAGAACCAGACCCTTGAGGATCCCTCAGCATAAGAGGGTTTACCCCAGTGGTGTAGGGCCAGTGGAACAGCCCTTCTTTGCAGACAATGGCATAGGTGTTGTCATAAATATAAAGGGAAGGGTAACCACCTTTCTGTATAGAGTGCTATAAAATCCCTCCTGACCAGAGGCAAAGTCCTTTTACCTGCAAAGGGTTAAGAAGCTCAGGTAACTTGGCTGGCACCTGACCCAAAATGACCAATGAGGGGACAAGACACTTTCAAATCTGGAGGGGGGGAAAAGGCTTTTTTCTGTCTGTGTGATACCTTTGCCGGGAACAGATCAAGGATGCAAGATCTCCAACTCCTGTAAAGTTAGTAAGTAATCTAGCTAGAAAATGCATTAGGTTTCCTTTGTTTTGGCTTGTGAAATTCGCTGTGCTGGAGGAAATGTGTATTCCTGTTTTTGTGTCTTTTTGTAACTTGAGGTTTTGTCTAGAGGGATTCTCTATGTTTTGAATCTGACTGCCTGTAAGATTATCTTCCATTCTGATCTTACAGAGTTGTTCTCTTATCTTTTTTTGTTCTTCTAATAAAGTTCTGTTTTTTAAGAATCTGATTGGGTTTTTTGGGTCTTAAAAATCCGAGGCTGGTTTGTGCTCATCTTGTTTATTCTCAAGTCTCCCCAGGAAAGGGGGTGTAAGGGCTTGGGGGGATATTTTGAGGAAATAGGAACTCCAAGTGGTCCTTTCCCTGTTCTTTGTCAAATCACTTGGTGGTGGCAGCAAACTGTTCAAGGACAAAGCGAAATTTGTGCCTTGGGAAAGTTTTTAACCTAAGCTAGTAAAAATAAGCAGGTCCCCACTTTCATGCGGGTCCCCACATCTGTACCCTAGAGTTCAGAATGGGGAGGGAACCCTGACAGGTGTGTACTCAGGATCAAGAAAGTGTTAGTGTTGGGAGGAGGCATGACTGGAGCATACCGTGGCCCAGCTATTTAGTGCTGTTGCAGAAGTGAATATTAAAACAATATTAAAACTGCTCTAATTTATGCCAGGAACTAGACCCAGGTGTCTCCAGAATCCAGGATGTGTAAAGATGAACCAGGACTGGGAGAGAAGGTGGCACAGAACCATTCCATCAGTCCAGTGCTGGCTGTGAACTTCCCCAAGGGCCATTCCTACCCAGTTTAAGGCACCTTTATATATGCTGCTGGAGTGGCAACAGAGGACTGTAGGGCAAATGAGAATCGGGCCCTTTGCTTTTTATTTGATAAGGTGTATATTTCTTTGATAAATAATTATGCCTAACATCATCCCTGTGAGGTAGGTGAAAACAACTAGTCAGCAGGTGAATTTAGGCCCAGGGAGATGAAGTAATTGTCCATGGTCACAGACAAGGGTCCCAAGAGTCCTCCTGACTCTCACAGCTGACAATTTTTTAAGGTGGGAACAAAAATTGTGCATGGTGATAACAAGTTACCTAGGGGTGCGATAATGGCAGCTCATAGTGCCGCAGGATGCTGTTAAAGACCCTGCCCCGAACAATTAAATCGCCCTTCCCCCCGCCCTGGAGTAGGGTGACCAGATTTAACCGGGAAAATATCGGGACACATGGGGGAAGCAAAAAAAAAAAAGAAAAAAGAAAGAGGCCGGAATTTTATCGGGACGTCTGGTCACCCTACCCTGGAGAGTCCCAAGCTCATGGCATTAAACACTCCCTACCCCCACCCCGTGGGCTTTGAGCCCCCTGTCTCCCCGCAGCACCCACTAGCCTTAAAACGCTGTGCTGCTGGCCCTCCTCCCCGGAGGTCTAACACCCGGCTGCTGCGCTGGCGACCCACCCCTTTGCAAAAGCCCTAGGTGCGCGAGCTCCGCTCTACCCCCGGAGCGGCACCGCCACGCGCTCGCTCGCCAGAGGGCCACCCCGGGCTTTGCTTCTCCCAAGAGAAGGCTCCTCCCTCTCCCTCACTCGGAGCCGCCCAGATTTCCAGGCAAGCTGGCACATGCGCAAAGGCGCAGTAAACAGGCGAGCCAGCTCCTCCCCCTTACGGCCTTTGCGTGCCGCTCTCGAGTAGTGAGAGCGAGCGGTGGCGGCTGCGCAGTGGGGGCACATCCGGGCACTGGGGCAGGATGAATGCTCCTTTCCAAGATGGCGGCGGAGGGAGGAGGGAAGGAGATGAACGAGATTAAGACCCAGTTCACCACCCGGGAGGGGCTGTACAAGCTGCTGAGCCACTCGGAGTACAGCCGGCCCAACCGGGTGCCCTTCAACTCGCAGGGCTCCAACCCAGTCCGCGTCTCATTCGTCAACGTCAACGACCAGAGCGGCAACGGCGACCGGCTCTGCTTCAATGTGGGCCGGGAGCTCTACTTCTACATCTACAAGGGGGTCCGCAAGGTACTGGGGCAGCAGTGGGGCGGGAGAGGCCAGGGGCCCGACCTGCTCGGAGCACGAGGGGCGTGCCAGGAGGGACCTGCTTGGCTTCAGTGTGGGCCGGGAGCCCGAGCTGCGAAGGCCGGGGAGCCGGAGGCCAGGCCGGGGGAGTGGGCTTTGCCTCAGTGTGAGCTCAGCACTCTTCGAGGGGGGCGAGATCCCCCGAGGCTCGGGGCGAAGGATGGAGGCACTCTATGGCCGGGAGCTGTACCTGCTCACCGAACCAGGGGGCTTGGATGGTGCCGGACCGTGGGGAGGGGGATTCTAAGCCTGAGGTAGAGGTGTAAGGGGGAGAGCTCTGAGAGGGAGGAGAACTAGTGTTGGGCTACCTAAAGGACACAGGACTGGAAGTGACTTCTTGGGTTGTAGAGTCCCTGCTGTGGTGGGCAACTATGTCCTATCATCCATTCATACATTTATAAAGCTACATTTAAAAGCTAGTTAAGTTAAAGAACCCAGAGAGTCACCGCCAGCAGCTAAAGTATGTTCCTGTGCAGCCCTTTCTTTGGCTCGTTTGGGCAGGTTTGGTAATGGCATAGTAACTCTGGGCCTGTCTCACCTACTGCTACAGGCTGAAGATTATGGGACTCTCTCTGAGGAGTGTTTGGTGTTAGCATGGGGCTGCCAAATCTCAGACAGGGTGGGGTTTTACTCTTATTTGGGTTAGGAGGAAATTTTTCACACTAAGTCACTAAGAGTGAAAAATTAGAGGTCTAATCTTATAAAATGTGAACTAACCCCAGGTCTGTCTCCAGAGGTGTCCAGTACAGTGAGCTGAGTCCTCTAAAGGCTGAAACTTTAAATTTATGATTATAACAGACAGCAAAAGCTTTCATCATGAGAGAAGTACTGATGCAAAATAAGTCTCCCAATCTGTGAATGATATTTGGTGGTGAAAGTCTAATAGCTTGTGCATTAAATGGCTAGTATGCTATATTAATGGGCAAATCGTAGCTACATAAGTACTGCATATGTAATTGCTGTTTTGACTTTTTGGTACTCCATGGTGCTTTACTTCCTCGTGTTTAGTGAGGCATTCTGATAATTTGCATCACCAAGTGAACAGGTGTCACTTTTAATATATGTAAACATAGGCATAACCAATCTCGAAGTTTTATTGAGATATTATCTGTTTAGCTTGGGTATGTATGAACCCCCTTCCAATTACTACATTATGTGAGCACCTTACAATATTTAATGTATATATCCTCTGACAGTGTTGAGATGGAGGGAAGAGTTGTTATTCCCACTTTACAAATGGGATCTGAGACACAGAAGAGACTTAGTGACCTGCCCAAGGTCACTTGGGAAGTTAGTAGCATAGTAAGGAATTGGACCTGGGTTTACACAGTTCCAGGTGAATGAATGCCCAAACCACTCTTTCTCTTGCTTGATAATTCATGTAAAATGTAAGCACTAGCTAATTGCTGAGGAGAGTTAAGCCTAGTAAGGATTAGTTGGTAATGACTTGCAACTGAACAGACCCAATATGTGTTGTCTGATTGTATGCACTTGTTTCATACACACATTTGAATTGACATTTGCATAATTTAACTTAATCATGTGATGAGTCTTGATAATTTGGGGATGTTTTAAGTAATTGTGAATTAAATTTAAATATTGATTTGGTATTTAGGCACTCTAGAGTAGTTGATGTTATTGAACAGTTATCTGCCTATTCATGTTAAAAATATTTTTAATATGTCCATTTTATAATCCATAGTGGCCTTTTCTACATATGAGTCAGTGTGGATGATACTTCGTATGGTTAAAATCTGTCCATCTTCCAACCCTTGTAACTGTTAGGAGTTTATCATCTTTGAGTTAGTTTTCAGTACTGAATAATTGCAAACTTCTGCAACTGTTTTATTTAGAGCAGCTCTTAATGCAGCCCAGTTACAGGACATGTGACTCTTACCAATCTTTTTTAGTCATTTGTTATCACACTTAAAGTAAAGAGAAATCTAGAAGCTGAAAATATGCCATGAAAATAGGGAACTGAGGAGTTTTTAAGTGCCAGCTTACAACTTGTAAGTCTTATTTGCATTCTTCTAATAGCTTTTCCAGTATCTTTGATAAAACATAACTTTGTATTTGTGGGTGTAGCAGCAATTGAAAATCCTACTGTACCTACCTGCTGGATGTCTGTTTTGGGTTTTGAGACATACTATAAACATTATAAATATATTATTCTTACTTCAAGTAATACAGTAAAATATACTAGAAGTTTAGAATAGAATTTGTGTTTGAGTTAGTCAAAGCAAAGCAATCCAATCTTATCAATGACCTTCAGAACAGATACTTTTAATACCATAATTACTAACTTCAGTTTAAAAAGCCTTAAAGTAACAGCTGAAATATATTAAATGTATCCAAATTAAAGAAAAGATTATAGATGAGAGAGACTAGGGAAGTTGATCTGCCATACATTTGGAATATTGTATTCATTATGAATGTATCTAGAAACATCGATGAGCTTGAAATCATTATGGGCTGTGATTCTGCAGATTGGGGTCTATGGCTTTGGTTCTCTTTGTCTGTGTAGAAAATTGGCATTAGCATAGGAAAGATTGTCAGCTGACAGTTACAGCTGTCAGAATGATTAACATAATTTTCATAAAGAGAAATGCCGTTGGTTATAAAACTTGCTACTGCTTCTTGCTATGGTGTATAAGGTAGGTGAAAGAAGGAGAGCTCAATGGTAGATTAAACTAGAAGTGTAAAACACTGTCTTAAAATGAATAAATATAAACTGCTGTAAACTTCACATACAGCATGCTTCTAAAGTTGTCTCTAGACTAGAGAACGTTTAGCCAAGACTAGCTAGCTAAGACTGATTAAACTTGGGTACTTAGCCTGCGTCTATGCCAGGAAAACGCCTTTAACTCAATTTTAGCAGGTTGAACTACAGTATAATTTCTGTTTGTGAACAGTGTTACTCTGAATTTACACTTGGAAGCGAGGCTTGGTTTTGTTTATGTGTAGTTTGGCTTGTATTATGTAAGCCTGACTTAAAATTTATTTCTCCTGATCAATTTAGCTAGATTAGACCAGTGATTATATTTCAGGTACTTTAAAATGTTAACTACAGCAAATGCAGGTTTGTATTTTAAAGCTGCAGTATAACTTAGGTTAAAAAGAAATTGCTAATTTTATTACCTCTTCCTGCCTTTTAAGCAGTCTTTAAAAAGCCTTGTTCCATTAGGTTCTGTTCCTGCAGAAGTCAGAGAAGGAAATGCCATTATCTTCAGAAAAAGCAGAGTCTTATTCCTTTTATTTGGTATGTGCCATGCTTTATTTAACCATGAAAGAGCTAGCAAAGTAAACAGATATTGCAGTGTCACACAGTATCTTTAGGGGAACATATTGTAATAAGTTTATATATTATTGTGGGCCAAGCATATGTGTGACTGTGCTCTGCTCCGTGGGAGAGGGTTCCACAACTCCTTCAGGAACTAAAACAGTGATTACAATATGCGTTATTCACCTTAAACACCTCCAAAGAGGTACATATGTACTGGTTCAAGGTGAGTTTCCACACACGAGGAAAACAAAGAAAATTTGGCTTTAAAAGGCTACATTTAAACTGACTCAAGGCCGCCTTTCTGATCCAATAGACAGGACCTTCTGTCCTAGAGCCTAAACTCTTGCAAAAGACTTCGGCCTATCAGAGCCCCGTAAGACTGATGGATGACTTCTGGTAAGCTTTTAGTGTGCGTATAGGCACTCTTATTGATTTTAATGTTTTTTCTGTAATGCTTTTGCCTTAAGAATAAAGGTGCTTGCTTAGAGCTGTGTGGTAACTTGTAACTGATGGAAATACACTATTTATAGCCTTCGGAGAGAAAGCAAAGCACAGGTGCTGGCCATTAGGTGACTGGCTTGCTGGGGATATCACAGTGTAAGGTACGGAGCTCTGCAGCCTTAAAATTCTGGTCATGAGGGAGAAATGCAGGTCTCCACCCAAGAGATGTGGTGGCTGGGAGCTGAAAACTTTAAATGAGTCACCAAGGAGGGGGCATACAGGTGCAATTACTGTGAAACTGTGACAACTGTCTGGGAACTTCTGCAGGTTTTGAACTTTTGGTATATACTATACTTAATTCATCCAGGGAAGAACTTGGAAATGGTTAAAATGGTTTGAAATCCCAATCTGAATGTGAGTCCAAATCACATCCCTAAAGAGTATTCCTTTAGGTTACTTTTCTTTATCTGACTGCTTCCACATCCCAAATCAGCTTTGTTTGCCATTTCTGTTTTGTGAATTAATCTTTAGTTGTAAGTCTCTTTACCCAGGCCACTGAATTGTTTGTGTTGCTTTAGAGATGAATCCTATGTAAGGATTGGTGTTCCATGTGACACTGTGATGCTTTCTTAACCTGGTTTCTTGAAGGTAAAATCTGGAGTTGGATCCAGTGTCTAAGACAGGGATGGGCAAACTTGCCCCCTGATGGCTCCCCTGGGACTCCTGCCCCATCCAACCCCCCCCACCCCTCCCCCGTTTCCTGTCCTCTGATGGGTGCCCCATCCACCACTCTCTGTCCCTTGACCACCCCCAGACCCTCACTCCTGACTGCCCCCCGCCATCCCATCCAAACCCCTGTCTCCTTCCTGACTTGCGCCCGCTCCCCGGGACCTCTGCCCCATCCAACCACCCCTTCGCCCTGTCCCCTGACCACCCCTGGAACCCCTTCTTCCCCCCCCAGAACCCCTGACTGTCCCCCGCTGTCCCATCCAACCCCCTGGAACCCCTGACTGCCCCCCCTGGGACCCCTGCCCCATCCAACCTTCCTGTTCCCTGCCCTCTGACCCCCCCCCCAACTCCCCTGCCCTTGATCCAACGCTCCCTTACCGTGCTTCCTGGAGCACTGGTGGCCATGCAGCCCAGAGCACCGAGTCAGGCCACTGCTCTGCAACTGCGCTGCCTGGCTGCCCAGAGTGTGGCGCAGCACGCTGAGACTGAG